TCCAGGTGGGTCTCAGCAGAGCAGAACAGAGCAAAGGGGCAGAATCCCCTCCCTGGCCCTGCTGCCCATGCTGCTTTGGATGGAGCCCAGGACACAGTTGGATTTCTGGGCTGTGAGAGCACATTGATGGGTCATGTCCAGCCTCTCCAGCACTCCCAGGTCCTTCTGGGCAGGGTTGCTCTGGATCTGTTCATCCCCAGCCTGGGTTGATACTGAACAGCAGCACCTTGTACTTTGTCTTGCTAAACTTAATGAGATTACCATGGCTCACTTCTCAAACTTGTACATGTCAGGTTGTACCAGGGAAAGTATGGAGAAAATATTTTGAATTAGACTGACAATACTTTACATAGGTGATAGGTATATCATCTGCTAAAAAAAATAGTTTTGGAGAAAAATAGAAAAAATTACAAATAAACAAAGCTTCAAAAGCTGCCAGGACTCATACAATGAAATGAGAACTTAATTTTATAGGATAAGAAAGTGGAACACAAACTTTATACTGTTCAAGACAACTTTTTAAAAAGACTTGGATGCTTCTGTGGAAAAGAGGGCAATAATGATAACGGTTGGAAAATGCCTCACTGCCTGTCCACAGATGAAGAGATACACCATGTGCTCTGAGAACAATTTGGAATTGATGAATGTTGCTATAATGCAAACACCATTTAGATCAGAAACCAGATAGCAACTCCAAGGTGGTGCACATTAATAACTCGATTGCTTTTCTTAACTGCTGCAAACTTGAATCATCCTAAAAGCACAGCAGCACCTGATATGGCCTTCACTATTACTTACTGTGTTTATAACTTGTTTTAAAAGTTTGAGTCCCCCAAAACCCTGCTGCAGAAAAGTAAAGGTTGCAAGAAACAGTTCTTAGAGGCTGGCGGGGCTGAAGTCCATATGCATTTTCGCTTTGAGTGTTTTCCATGTAGAAGGCTTGTCCCCACACTACCCTCTATGTTCTCTGTTTTTGTTTACAAAATGAATAGTGAAGCTTGTAAAACAGCTACAAGAAGATAACTCCACTGTAAAAATCTAGTTGTTGGCTGGGTTTTGTAGGTGTGCATTTTTGATTTTTTTTTTCACAGTTGAAATATCTTTTTCTAAGCAGGAAGACAACTACAATTGACAGTCCCAGGTTAATACCATCTCCTGTCTCCTAGCTTGTCCAAACTAGTGAGTTTCTAGTTTACTTCCCTGAAGCTTGTAAATATTAGTGATTTTTAAATCAAGCTTGCCCTGCTTTCATTAACGTCTTACAGAAATGGGGGAATCTCTGTTCTTTGTTTTCTTGATCAAGTGTGCAGCAAATACTGCAGGAAAAGAACTCAAGAAATATCAAGTCTGCAAATTCTCTTAGGGATGAAACATGAAGTGACATGTGACACTTCTCAGCCTGGAAACACAAGGCTAGGCTCTGGGCAAGCTCCTCCCGTCACAAGACACCTCTTTGACAGGAATAAAGTTTTTGTGTTTGGCATTCTGATTTCAGAGTGACCATTCAAGCACAGTTAGACACAACACAAGTAAAAATAAAGGGCATTCAAATGAAACACTTTTCTTTGGGCATTTATTTTATTGGGGTATAAATATTTTTGAACAATATGCTTACATAAAATGAAATGCTTTATATACACACATAGAGAAATTAAGCACAATACTTGAACACCATTAATATTTAAAACTCCTAGTATACAATCTAAAACTCTAACTTGAATCTGTGCCTTAACACTATTGGTATTTCACAGGTCACATTACTGCTAAAGTATGTTTTACACCATGAATATTTTTTCCATTCCTGCATTTACCATTGCAATTGGTGCAAAAACACTTGCTGGCTGACAAAAACTGAGATAAGCAATGCAGGAGTTGAGGAGAATATGGCTATTCCCTAATGACAGGCTTTCTAATTCACACAAATTTCCAATGTGGGACATTCTCCATATAGACAATTCATACCTGGTTTGTTTTTGTTTGAAGCATAAAATGACCAAGAAGAATCAAACTAAGAAACTTAATTTCCCGATGTCAAAATATTAAATCTGGTATTTGATACTTAAGGTGCATAACTGTTAATTAAATTCTTGTTTTATTAGAGTGTTAATGACAAATAACTTTGTCATTTTCCTATATTTGCCTCTTTCCTTTAACTTAACCTTCAATAAATATTGCATCCTGAACATTAGCATGTATGTATTACTATAATCTTATGAATCATGCAAAGGATATGAGCATTTTTGGCTCTTGAAGGATTTTCTATAAGGGCCACCTTCATTGTTGATTACAACTTCTCAATCACTTTCACAGTGATGAAAGGCTCCTGTAGTGGGGAACATGTCTCAGGGCACCCACGTACTAAGAAAAAAGCAAACCCAGCATCTCTTGCAATTCAGCAGATGGAGGGGACAAAGGAAGGGAAAAACTTGAATCACACATCCTTCAGAAGTGTTCAAATTAACCTTGCCTTTTTAGTGCACACTTAGAATTTGTACAGTGTGCTAGAAGAGCAACTAACTGGAAATGGAAAGTCAAAAGTGTTCAACAACTGATGAAAAGCCTTCTAAAGCTTTTTTTCAGAGTTGCACAGCATATTGATATTTTTTTTCAAATTTGGAAAACAAGTAATCTCAAGCACTTCTTGCTTTCTAGTCACTGAAAACTAGAATGATGGATTCCTATTATTTTCTTTGCTCATTATATCAACACTTTCCAAGCACTTATCCAATTTTCTCAATTTTCTCATATTCTTATGCAGGTTGTTTGTTTTTGGTTTTTTTTTTTTCTGGGCAGATATACAATATCCTATTCCTACCCTTAGGTCAACTCACTGCTTGCTAGAGAACAGCAGCATTTATTACATTCATGCTTTTTGCTAAGTGGATGGTGCCAGTTAGAAAGAAATTAATGTTGCAACCACTTCTGCCAGTAGGATGCTAATCTGGAACTCTTTCCTGTGCCTGCTGTCTGAAACAAACACATTAGGTCAGGCATGGTTGCACAAAAGCTTTTTCATGAACCTATACAACTTCAGATAAATACAAACCTTGGAAACCTTGCAGATGACTTCCTCATCATCTGACTAATAAACTAACACAACCCGTCAGGATTCAGGTTCCTTCCGAGGGAGGACACGAAGCTGTGCCAGGGGAGGTTTAGGTTGGGCATTAGGAAATGGCTCTTCTCCCAGAGGCTGGTTGGGCACTGGAACAGGCTCCCCAGGGAAGTGTTCATAACCCACAGCCTGCTGGAGTTGAAGAAGTGTTTGGACAATGTTCTCAGGCACATGTGAAGTTCTTGGGGTGGTCCTGTGCAGGATCATAGGATGATCTTTGCAACGTACTTCCAACTCAGGATATTCTATGATTCTACGAACCACATTTCTCTTGAACTTACCTTCCTTTTAATACTTACCAAAGGTTCGGAGTTTAATTCCTGAAGCTGTACATCTGTATTTCAAGTGTGCTATCGAGTTACCATTTACCATAAGCATTTGAGACGCATTACTCGAATTCATCAATCTGTGCAACTGCTATGATTCCTGCTCTGACACCCTCTCCTCAACCTTACCTGGACACAAACTTATACTGCCTGAACATGAAGAGCAAGATGGTGGTGAGGCACATCATAACCTCCTTATCATAAGCTGTTTGCTTATTTGATATTAATTGAACCAGTCCACATCATAAAATCTTTTGAAGTGTCCCCGTGGTAACAGAAGTAAAAAATATCCACAATACAGACAGCGATGTAACCGAAACCTTTTAAAGGCACCTTTTTAAAGAAATCTACGCATCCCTTTTTCCCTGTGTTTTCCAGAGGTAAGCCAGGCTCCTTCCGACCGGGGGCACGGCTCCTCGGAGGCCCCGGGCGCCCGGGGAGGGCAGGCAGCAGCACGGGGCACGCGCCACTTCCCACGCTCCCGCCTCTCGCCCCCGGCCCCGGGCCGGACGGAATGCATTTGCTTAGGTTCCTTTTGGTTATTTTTTTTTTTTTCGGACTTCCACTCCGACCTTCGCGTACCGGCGAGCTGGCAGTAGGGCGAAGGCCAGCCGGAAGCACCTAAAAAAACCCCAACCAAACAAAAAGAACCCCGAGCGGGCTGCGGCACCACCGGGCAACCCCGGGCGCCGCGGCCCAGCCGTAGGGCGCGGGCCCGGCAGGAACTCTGAAATCCTGCGCCGCCCGGCCCCGCCCCATTGCGACCGGTGCCGGACGCTTCCGGAGACTCCCGAGCTCCCCCCGCTCCCAGCTCCACCGCCCGTGTTCCTCGAGCGAGGACTCGCTTCCTTTCCCGACTCCCCCTTCCCACCCGCCTGCTCCGCCCAGTCAAAATGGAGGATTGCGGTTGCTGCGGCCACTGGCGTCGCGGTGGCTAGGGCAGCTGCTGCTCCTCCGGATCACTCCTCGCTCCTTTGAAAAAAAAAAAAAAAAAAAAAAAAAAAAAAAAAGGTTGGAAACGTTCCCTTTTTTTTTTTTTTTCTCCGCCCACTGGCTGCTCACTGCGCGGACCGCTGGCCCTTCCCATGCCGTCGTCGTCGTCGTCGTCGTCGCTCTCCTCCTCCTTCTCCTCCTCCTCCTCCTCCCGCGATTGTCTGCGCTCCGGGTGCCGCCCGGACTCCCTGCATGCACACGCCGCCTCCTAGGTGGCTGCGGGGGTGGGAGCTGCCATTTCGCGCATACCTTCATGTCCCTGCGCCCGCTGCGGCCGCCCGCCGCCGCCCCGCATTGCTCGCCCGCTCCGGCTGCCGCCCTGACGGCCGCTCCCGCCCAGCCCACGCGGAGGGGGATCCGCGGAGGGGGCGGCGGGGTCGGTGGCGGGTCTCGCCCGGTAGAGCCACCGCCGCCAGCACACGCAGCAGCAGCAGCAGCAGCCATGAGCAGTGCCGCTACCGCCACCTCCGCCGCCGCCACGGCCGGCAGCGGCGCGGGGGAAGGGGCCGAGGAGGCTGCCAAGGACTCGGCGGACATCGCGGCGTTCTTCCGATCCGGTGAGTGCGGTCCTGTCCTGGGGGAACAGGGAAGAAGGGACGGCGGCGAGACCATGGCTAGAAGTAGAGGCGAAAGGTGGCCCTAGGGTAGCGACGTCTTTCCCCCGGAGCCGGGAAAGGAGGACAGGGCAGCCGGCTTTGTCAGGTGGCCTCGGGGAAGGCTCGTCTGCTTCTCGCCGCCGGGGCCGCCTCGGCACGGCCCGTCTGTTCCTTGGGGAGGAGGCAGGGAAGAGAGCCGAGCTCGTCCCGTGCCGAGGACAGCGGGGCTTAGGTACAGCAACTTGCGGGCAGGATACCACCCTCGCCGGCGGAACCGGGGCGTGAAAACGGAGGCGGCGGCGGCGCGGCCCGGCCGGGAGGGTGTGGGGCTGCTGCCGCCCCGGGGCGGTGTCGCCGGTGACAGGTGCGATTCTGCCTCCCGTGTCGGCCCCGTAGCGGGCGCGTCACCGGGGCCGGGCGGCACCACCCAGCGCCAGGCGTACCCGAGTCCCCCGAAAATGTCCCGCCGGGGGTTGCGGGACGGGAGGCGGGTAGAGGAGCTGCTCCGATCCGGGAAGCCCATGGTGTCGGAGGGGCGGAAAGGGTGCGCGGGGCCGCAGGGCTGCGGGGAGCCGGTTGTGCCGGCCGGACCCCCCGGGGAGGCCGGCGAGCAGGCAAGAATGACACCGCTATAAAAGGCAGTGCTCCTCCGGTGCTGTGCTGCTGGGTGGCGGCACAGGGCAGGGATGGGAGAAGCGGCACGGAAGCCCGTGTTAAGGGGTGTCGCTCCCTCGGCTGAGGCGGGGAAGCAGCGGCTCTCGGGCGCTGCCGGGCTGGGAAGCCGGGCTGGGCGCGGAGGATCGGGAAGGGAAGGGTGGGAGCCTGTTGACAGGCTGCCGGGATGAAAAAAAATGGAGGCTGCCTTTTCCCTCGGTGTTTACTCTCGGCACGCAACCGGGAGGGAAGGACGGCTGCGCCCGCCGCCGAGACCCTGTCCCCGGGGGCATAGCGGCGGGGAAGGCAGCACTGCCCGGGCCGCACGGACCTCCAGTCGGCGGGGACGGAGCCCTGCCGGCAGCCTGGGCGGTGGCGGCTACGGAGCCTCCCCCCGTGCCGGCTGCCCCCCTCGAGCGGCGGCGGCTCCTCCCCTCCGTCCGCTCCGGCGGCTCCGCGCCCCCAGGGCAGCGGCCGGGCTGAGCTGGGCATTTGCTCTTTTTGGGTGCCTAAAAAGGAGCGACGAGCAAGGGAAATGCAGACTCACCGCGGGAAAGATGAGGGGGTTGGCCGATTTCGTGTGTAAAAAATAATTATGGCAATAGTAATAATAGTAGTAAAAGCTGTGTTCACTGGGTTTTTAAGGAAAGTCCGCGAGGGAAGTGGGGAGCGGTGTAATCAGTGCTACTTGTGGTCGGTGGTGCTGCTCAGTGTGATTTCATGAGGGTGAAGGAGGAGGTGTGATTTCTAGCAGGCATCCTTGAAGCAGTGCTGGGAGCTTCATTTATGTGGATATAGGGTCCAACAGGGGGCTGGGTCCCCTCTGGAGGGCTTGATGCTCCCGAGGCAACCTGTTTAAGATGACAGCCATTGAGTGTGAAACTCCTTGTCAGGATGCTGGTCTTGGTGGCTTTTATAATGGAAAAAGGACTGAGCTTTATCGTTCCCAGGAAAAAAATCCCGATGAAAGCAAAATGACAAAACAGTAGGCTTACACACAGTAGTCTGCCTAGTGTAGTTACAAATGGGTGCTTGTGTAATAATCTTGCAGTTTTGGAACACTCTGCCAGCTGTATTAATAATCAACTTCTGCATTTATGTGTGGGTTGAGGGATGCTACAGCTAGTAAGCTCATAAGTGGTGCAGTGATCACTTCTGATGCTGATAACTTCTGGTAACAGAGAAGTTGCATTGAGCTCAGTCTTGAAACATCTGAAAATCTTAAAGTAGAAGGACATGCTTATCAAAAAACTCTTAGAGCATATTTGACAACTGGCATTCTCATTTCCATATTTACGTGTGAAGGTTATCTTGTCCAGCCTGGGCTCTAACATACACTGGAAAATGTTCTGGCATCTCCTATGTGTGTCTGGCATTAAGAAGTGCTCTTTGAATTCCACCTCTGTGCATGATCCACTCTTCTATAAGGAGAGGGTCTATTAAGAGATTTCCGGTGCTTCCCTTTGTTTGAACAACAGGCACTTTTTTTTTTTCAGTAGAACACAAAGGGCGCAGAGATCAATGAACAAGGAAAAAACTTTAGCACACTTAGGAGCAGACAAAATATTATTGTCTTTACAGAATTTACAATGACAAATGTTTCTTTTTTTCCTGTCACTTGCAGAGAATATTAGCAAAGCTCTAGCTGTTATTAAAAAGAGAAAATGAGTAAAAGTGTTGCAGTGTTTTCCAGGAGGGAAAAAAAAAATACCCCAACAACAAAAAGCCTGCCTAAACAATCAGTTCTAATCTTGGGTTGGTTAAATTGGTCAGTAGAGCTGCCAAGTGGGGTTATTGGCTTTCCTCCTGTCCTTTTGTAAGACTAAGCTTGAAGTAGAATTAAAGTAGCCTGAAGAATGGAGTTTCATTATTTGGAAGATTTTGTTAGGATATTGAACAGCAGCTAGGTTCACATCACTTGATGTGTGCACATTTCCAGTTTTCACTTTGGTTATGTAAATGTAAACTCACTCTTGAGTTGTTGGGGAAATAAAGTTGCAGTTGAAATGTGAGGAAAGCAGCTGAACTGGAAGTGAGGTGGTGGCAGTAGGAACACATAAAGACTGTGTGTCTTGAATGTGAATGAGGAATCCCTTTATTGGAATTGGAAGAAATTGAGGCAGCTTACTTTCTGTTACATATTTGGTATCGAAATATCATTGTTTGAGGTTGAAAAGAAAAGAATACCTTGTTAGGTCTGTCACCTTTGTGGCAGGATTAACAGTAAAAGAAGGAGAGTTGGGGGCCAGGCAAAGTGATTACATTTTTAGGGAGAAAACTGTGGTTTTAGGAAGTGTCTTTCTGTCCTGTATATAAGTTGGAGATTAGAAATGACTGTGAAACTGAGAGAAGCATATGTTTTGAACTATAAATGTATAGACAATTGTCCTTATTTTTTTTTTTTTTTTTAATTAAAGTGCACTGTTGTGACTTGAAAGGACTGGTAAAGTGTTTTGGAGTTATGAAAAAAGACTGCTACCATACAAAAACCCAGTAGCGCAGAGTCTAAAACGTAGAGTGGTGTTAGTAAATGTTTTAAGTATACAAGATCTATTTTTTATGAAAAGTTATTAAGATAAACCTTTTCAAAATGTGTTCTAAGTTTCAACCTAAAATTCTGTGTATCTGAAAGGTGTGAAAACATCTGACGAGTAAAGTTGAATTTGAGGGAGTGCCATCAAGTTATGGCTTACAGGGCAGTAACATACAGAGGTGTGGTTTGGTTGTTGTTGGTTTCATCTTCATCTTTGCAGCTGTGAGTGCTCAATACTTAGGTAAGAGGACTCAACTGACATCTTCAGGATGCAAGAATAAGGGCTGTCTGTTAAGTTTAAATCATATTATTATAAGAGTGTTTTCGAAACGAAAGTATTTTTGCTAGTTGAAGTTTGTGAATTTAGTTTTTTAGACATAAAGAACAAAAGTTTTTTCATCCAAGTAAAAGACAAATGTTGATGTTAGTCAAACTTTTAGTAATTAAAATTACCCTTTTGGTATGATGGAGATACCTGTGAATACAAAAGTTTGCAGAGAAAAAGGCTTGTAAGCACTTCAGTCAACCCTTGGCTAGACAGTGTAGGGAGTGTCTTTATAGATTACTCTGATAAGTCTTCGTGGAAAAAAACCAACCAACTGATAACTCTTCTTTTGTGACACGAAAATGTATGTAGTTACTTCCTGTAAGATACATTTTTTATGAGCGGCCTCTACAAACTGTAGTAACTTCATTCATTTATGGACAAACAATACAGTTTTCAAAGCCGTTGAGGAGATTAGCATTGTCACCACCTGTTTATGTGAACACTTTCCACATGTCTGGGAGGAGCACAATTTGCATACTGAGCAATGAGGAGGGTCTGGTTGGAGGAACAAAAGTGTTTGAAAAACAAAGGAAAAACAAGGGGCCCCAAAAGTCTTGTCATTAAGGTGAATAACTGTTCAGGCTTTTCCAGGTCAAATCTGAACATAGTTTTTAATTGTACTTCATTCCTTGAGATGGGAAAACAAAAAAGGGGAGGATTTTCCATCTAAAACCTAATCTACACAGGTAGCAGCAGTCCTTTCTCAGGAGAAGGAGTAAGTCTGAGATGAATGTGGGTCTGGAGGAAGTGGATGTTCCAAGTAGAGAGTTCAGTGTGCCACTTCTCTCAAGGTGAAGTTAGAGAACAGGCTGGTAGCCAGAATAGCTTTAAATAGCACTTGGTTCTAATGTTGTACACTTAGTGTATCCTGCTTGTGCATGTGTTTCTTAATGTAAGCTTAATGATAAAAGAATTTAAAACTTTGGTTTGAGATATTTGTGCTTAGTTACCAAAATGAACATATGAGTATTTTAGGAATGCTGAGATGTGTTGTGATTGTGGTCATTTGGAAGCTTCTGCAAGCACTAGTAACTTGAGATTTTGATCAGTCTGGGTTTGACTAAGTCTGCCTATAGCAACCTATGCTGATAGTCGCTTGAATAGTTGAGACCTTAGAAGAAGTACTAATAAGTGTCATGAAAATATGATTGATTTTCTTATTTTTCTTTTAAATAATGATCTTGTTTACTTAGTTTTCATTAAATTCACTTAATACTGTAAAGATAAAAGCTAGCATTTAGGAATGTGTTATTTCAAGTTTAAAAGGAGGACTTATGTTTTATTTCTTCCTGATTATATTGCTTTATATACTGTTGCCTTGCTTGCTTTATATTAGTATCCTGTGTGATAGTGGCTGGGATAATTGACTGCATGTAGTAGACAGCATTAAAAATGCTATCATAGTAAGGAAAGGAGAGAGGGTTGGGAAAGATTACATGGTAAAGAAAAGGCAAGCGTATTATTAAAAGGCAGCAGTTTTTTTTCAAGAATACTACTAATAAAAACACAATATCATTTAGATCATGGGCAAACTGACTTGCAAGGTAGGCATCAATTGTGGAAAAAAAAGCCAAATTTCCATCTGAAAACCATGAAGCAGAACACACTATCTGTAAAGTTATGATGGATGACTCTTCTTAGGAAGGCACTATCTCCTGGTGATGTGTAGTAGCAACTTACAGAGAAGGTAGTCAGAATTGTGATTGTTGCTTACTTGGCATGCCAGTTGGAGCAGCTGGAGAGTTGTTTTGAGTGTCTAACAGGAATAATCTAATAGCCAAGCCAAAAGTGAAGTTTTGCCAGGCAGCACTGGTGGTAGCTCACATGACAGTTCCCTGCTGTCCTCTGCATATACTGGTTCTTGGCCCTGTGGCTGTCAGGAGCTGAGATGTGTTTTAAGAATTGGTGGGCATGCAGAGGATGTAAAGCATGAAACAAGTTGTCCATTCTTTCATGTGACTTAGAGTGATGACAGCATTTGTATTAAGTAAATAAACACAACAAAAATTCACAGTGTTGTGTAAACTTTTCAAGAATCTGTTACTTCCTGCTTTGAGTTGCATTAGCAAATGAGAAGGTTGCAGCAGTATTGGTGTCATTAGTGCCAGTTGACCTGGGCTGAAGAAGTGGGCTCTTTTGTGAAGGTCTGATCCAATTCAGAAATAGCCATTTTAATTATATGGTTGAAGCAAGGTGGTGTGTATGTGTGTGTAAATGATATTTTGAAAAATACCATAGAAAAATACCACAACTTGATAGTTTCTGATGAGCATATATAGAGCAAAAATAACTGCAGAAACAATGAAATTACAATGGAGAAGTTAGGCTGAAAAATAGCATTGTTGAGTTGACATTCCCTGGAACAATGAAGATGAGGATAGAGAGTTTCAGTGTGAAATGCAGCAGCTGTTGTGCAGTTTGGCTTAGTGTGTAACAGCCAAGCTTCTCTCTGGATAGACAAGGACAGATCAAATTAGAGGGTAGGTTGTGTTTGAAGCAGTTGGAGGCAGAAGTTAGGAATATTTCTAAGAGAGGACAGAGGGCAATTACTGGTAACATAGCTGCCAGCTGAGAAACTAAATGCACATTTGGAGTGGAAGGTAAATGGGAGTTAGAGAAAAGCCAGGTCCATTCTTGGAAGGAGTGCATTCGAGCTGGCATGAAGTGCTGAAGCAGGAAGAGACTTGGTACAGCCGAGGCTTTCATCAGTTGTGGAGCTTAGTCACTATGTAGATGGATAATAAATGTTTCTTATAGAAATGATGTGTCTCCAGTTGAATGTGTCCCACAGCAACCTAACAAAAAAGGTGTGAATTTTAACCTAAAATATCACATGACTTCCAAGAGTTTTTGCATGTAAAATCACTGTCTAGGTAAATAAAATCTAAATAAAGACTGGAAAGACTTTCCTTACCCAAATATACAGAGAAAAATATTAATGTTTCTCTACTCCTTTTCAATTGAAAATAAAAACTTAAATAATTCTAGTGTCAAAAAAATGTAGACTGGTAGGTCAGTTTAATGTGGTGAAATTGCATAGTGATTTTTGGTCTGCATCTTGAAGAAGGAGATAAAATCATGGAAATAGCTGTTCATGGTCAGCAAAAGTGTTAAAATAATAAAGACACATTGAAATTTTGGACATGCAGTGGTGGTTGAAGGAAAGTCAGTGATAAGTTTGAAAAGAACAGAGGAAACAATTTTTTCTGCTTGATATTGGTAAGAAATTTAATCTTAAAAAAAAAAAAAAAAAGCTATGAGGTAAAAAAACCCCGTGAAGGTCACAGCAGGCTATTTTAATTTAATGACTAAGATGGTTATATCTATTTGTTGTTCTTATGAAGAAATTTGCCTGATTTGGAGAAGGATCTTTGTTTAACTTAACATTTTTCTTGGTGCGCTAAAATCAAAAGTAGACTACTGGTGAAGTAATACTGATGATCTGCAAAGCTGAGTCATACTCCTTCAGGAAGGATACTGCTGTTTTGAGAAAACAGATCACTTACCCGGTAGTGAGGAGTAGGAATTGAAATGACAGGGAACAACTCAAGTGCTTTTAGCAGTAGACACTACAGTACATTAAAGCATCTGATTTTCAGCCTCTAGAGTAGGTTGTTGTATGGGTACACAAAGAGGAGGGTTCACTCTTTAGAGTAGAGTAGGTTGTTGTATGGGTACACAAAGAGGAGGGTCATAAATGAGTTGTGTCCACAAAGTTTCACAAAACAGTCTGAGTGACAAGACTCTGCTCTAAAGATACAAAGCCCGTTCCAGTAGTTTCTCTGCCAAGTAGCTGCTCTAAGTAATGAAATAGCCTAACTGCACATTTGTTTAAAAAATAGGGTTGTTTTTCAAGGCTGTTGAGTGGAATCTTCTGAAATAATTTCGTCAAATTTGTTTAATCTCCTGTGTTAATCTCCTTGCCTAAGTGGCAGTAGCACTGTTTAATATATATACACAACTGCAAATATGTAATAGATTTTCCTACTGAGCAGTGCTGAGCTATGTCTTTTCCTGGTACTTCTGAATATGATGTTTTGTAATCTGGACCTTACTGAAGAACTGAAGTAGGTATTAGTGTTTTATAATTATGGTGGAAAGAGAAAGCAATCTTTACAGGGAGATGAGATTTTTTTGTTTGTTTGTTTCTCAGGGTCCAAGATGTTGAGGAAGAAAGATGGCAAGTACAGGGAGAAAAGTGTGGACTTCCAGCACTGAAGTTATGTCAGGGGTTTGCTTTATGTTTTATACTATAGGTGTAGTATCGTATGCTTGGATAATCCCCGCAAATCTGTGCAAGAGTCAGGACAATGTTATTGGCATGTGTAATAGTCTGACATGAGTCTGAGATTCAGGAAGGTTTGTTTTACTAGTGTGCATGAGGATACATGTGTGCATGTCAAACTAAATATTCCATGTGGCTTCAAAAACTTGAGTTTGCATGACAAATCTCTTTGTTAAAAAGTTGGGGAAAGTATTCCGGGCAGCAGGCACTGAACAGGGCTATTGTGAGTAATCCCAATGTGTTCTAGTCATCTGTGAAACTACCCGAAGCTTAATTACTCATGTTTTCTTGTAGTCTTAGTGCGTGTTTGAGCAGTAATAGTTATTCCTGAGGTGTCTGCAGACTGTATAAACAACCAGTAGTGATTTTTGTGGTTAGATTTGTACATGACTGCTTAGCAATTAGAGACTGAGGATCCAGGGTTATAGTGAAGTGAGATTTCCTAAGTGCTAAAAATTAACAGGAAAATATACCAGGGCTCACAGGGACCTATCAAGTAAATACCTACTTACTTTTGTCTAGTCTGTACCTAACTTACTGCGTAAAAGAGTAGTTCGGAATGCAAAACTTTTAGGCTTTATACAGAATTTCTGCATTTTTTTGGGTAATTTTGTGGAAACCTTCAGCCTTATGACATACTTATCAAGGCATTTGGTCAAAGGCTATTCACGAAAGTTTGTGATGGTTGCAGAGTTGGTTAATAATTTTGAGGCCACTAAATAATGAAAAATGTTATTGGTGAAATTTAATGAAAGTAGGAAGTGTTTGAAGTCTTGAGGATTGCTTGTTTTCAGAGCCCAAACAGATATAAAATGTTGGGAAGAAATCAGGTGACATTTCTTAAAGTGTGTCCTAGGTAATAAAGGGAGGATACATCAGGAACATCCCAAGAAGTGAATTAGACTAAATGGAGTGTTTAAATAACAATATTACTTGGCTAACCTCCTGTGCTACACAGTAGACTTCACCGTATCCATTATGTAGTCTTGGCTGTACAGTGTTGGTGGATATAATTTTCTACTGGCCTTAAGGTAGTAGGTTCTTCAATTTCCAAGTGTTTATTATGCCACTGACTTCTGAGTATGTTGGGTTAAGCATCGTTAAGTACAAAGATGATAGTTTTTGGAGATCATAAAAATACTCCACCTTCTTCTAAAAACTTTAGGCCAAGGTTGAAGTGTCTTTGCCCTTTGTAATTCTCCTATTCCTTGAATTCCAGATATATGCAGCTGAAAGCACAGGAAAAAAATGTAGAAAGCAAATAAAGGTGAATTGAAATATAAATTGCCTGGATTGTCCTGTTCTGCACAAAAGTCGATGGCACATAGTACGTTGAACATCGGACTTAAGAAAATGCCAAACCCCATCCTTGGAGTCCTCTTTCTGTCTTTTACTATAGAATAATAGAATAGGTTCTGGTTTCTCTGCTAAAGAAACTGAATAGCCGTTGTTGTTATTTATTTTTTTTAACAACGTGTTACTCTCAAAGCTTTTTTCCCTGTCTTTATTTATTTGCTTTATTAATGTTAATCAGTGACTTAATTTTGATTGATACTGCACATAGGATTGGTCCTAAAAGAATAGAAATGGAACAGCTACAGCAGTAGCTTATGGTCTTTACACATCACATTTCCTGTGCCTTAAGTACTTGTTTTCTGCACTTAAAGATAGTTGTTAGGCTTGAATTTGCAATAGTGTGCAAAGTTCAAAGAAGAAATCAATGCTGTGCATTGCTTAACTCACAGGGTATTATGTGAGCTGGTCTTCTGTAAGGGCAACAGAGGCAAGCCAAACTAAAATTTATTAGGACAGTTGCACTTTTTCAGATAGAAAAATGATAATGACTTATCTATTGACTTGTTGGTTGGCTGTCATGGTTGAGGAATGGTGTTCCCTCAGTCCACTTGGTCACTCCCACTCTGTATTCCTTGTGGCAGGATGAAGAGAAGAATTGTAGACACAAAAGGTAAAGATTATGTGTCAAGATAAAAGCAATTTACTGGAAACACTAATGAGATAAGAAATCATACAGTAATTATACAAATGACAGAGTGTACAAGAAAAGAAACGTTATTGCTCATCCTTGTGGAACATTGTCCTTGTGGAATTCTCTGACTGCTCCCTCTGCCATGCTGCCCTGACATGGGAGTGAGCCCTTTGCCTTGTTCCCAGAAAATGACATGAGGTGGTACTCTGGGTCCTAATCATGTCCCCTCCAGGCCAGAACCAGCACACTGGCTTGTTAATGCTATATATTAAATGAATAAATAAATAAAAACTAAGATACCAGTTTCTCCACAGGTAGTGAAAGGCTGTCTTTGGAAGAAAAACAAAGAATTGTACTTGACTGAATTTCTCGCCTTGGCAGCTGAGCAGAAAGTTAAAAAACTGAACTTCATTTCTATCCCTATTTGGGAAAATTCTACTGTTTGTCTGTTGAATTACTAAGGCAGGAGAGTCAAGTCAAGCCTGCTTATAGAAGGTGATGAAATACAGTTTGTCTCATTGTGATCCTTGTAGAGTTTAGCCATGACATGCTTTAACCCGTCAGTGTGGAAGGAGCAATATCTTTTCTAGTACAGTGTAGGGCTGGAGTCAAATTTGCCTATGCTTAACTCAGAACAAGGGTGTAATTCTGCCAACAATAACCACTCAACGTGTGTGTTAACTTTTTTTTTTAATGTTTGGAATCAGATGCATCCTACCCTAGCCAAAGGGAAACATTTTTGAAGCTCTGACGCATTTACACAGATGAAGGAAGGAAATGTCCAAAAGAGTCAAAAGCTAAAAATAGATCAGTTTACTGAGTTGAACTCTGGATGGGAATTGATGAACTAAATATAAATCTATATTTGAACCTTTGTGACTTACATAACTGAGTGTTGTAACCCCTTTTGGATATTGCTGCTTTTTCTTGCATTAAATTTTATAGTAGACGGCTTCAGAGGAAAACTTGTGCCAGACTTTGTGGGTTTACTTTGCACTGCTTTGAATAGACAGCACTGAGAAGTCTGATTCTCTCTTGATGATTATTGGTACAGCATAGTTTAACTCCCTGGAAAAGTGGATTGTGGGTTGTGTTGGGGTTTTCTTGTTTGTTTTGAAGAACTTCTCAGTGGAAATGGTATCTCCTGACTCTACTGAACGGAAGTTTTAAACCAGTAGCAATTAGAATCGTTGTCTCTGAGGGAGTGTAATTTTTTCCCCAACTTCTTCAAGAAGCAGTAAATTTGCCTGTCATAGCTGTAAATAGAAAGGAATGATAACCTGAACATTTAAGAATGAATATTTGGCTTTCTAAAATGGTTCACTCTCTGCCTTGACACAAATCAAAGTTAGAAACTATCAGCTTTCCCTTGAGGTAAAGAAAAGTAAGCTCATTTGAGTGTGTAAAATTTGTGTAATGGGAAAAAATATAGGAAAAACTGTTAATATGTGAGAATGTTGTAGATTGCTGTTCTTAGATGACTGTGGTAGTGCCATGAAAATGGAGATAAGCAAATTTTCCTTCTTCCTTAAGTAACAGTGTACATTTTTTTGAGAACTGGTAGCAACCAACACAATACTGCTAACTAAAAAATGGCTTTTTCCAGTGTGTTCAAGCAGGGACAGTGCAGTTGAATCCCTGTGGTTTAGCATTTGCACTAGCAACTGCTAGTGAAAAGTGGTTCTTTCATAATATTACACATAATTGTAAAGCTTTGCATTGGAGAGATGAAGTACATATATTAATTCATTGACTTTGTCAGAAAAACAAGTGTTACCATTTACAAATACAATAAATATAATAGAATATTAGGAGTAAAAATGGTAGCTTTGATTAGAGTAACTTCAAGCAGTAACTCTCCACCCATCACTCCCACAAGAACTGAGGGTTCGTTTTTTTACTCAATACCTTTCCTTTTTTACTATATAATTTGCTGTAGAATGTTTGCTTGACAGATGTATAAATAGTTGTGCTCTTATTTGCTTTGTGTTTTTGTTTGGTTTTCCAGCGGAGCCTGGGAATGTTTGTTTTTGCAAGGTTGTTTTGAAAAAAATTTGGAGTCTTTGATTACTAAAAATAATATTGGTTCCAAGCAGCAGTTTATCTGTTAAAGCAATGAGCAGTTTGTAGCAAAACGACCTGACTACATGGTTATATACCAACATGGCAATTTAAACTTTGTATTTATGGAAGATCTTGTTATATAGCGAAGTATGAGAACTACTCTGTTTAAAATACTGTATTTTACTAGAATGTGCTTTTGGAATGGATTTGTCCATGTTGCTGTTTCCACTGTGTTAACCCACTGTTAAAAAGTTAAAGCTGTAAAATCCTTTTGCAAGAGCTTGGTTAACTTGAGTGGCTGTGCAACCTGTGGTATTTCTGCTTGTAGGCAAGTTCATGAGCAGGATGTGACTTGCAGTTCATGTCCACTGAGGCAACATTAGTGTCTTCAAAGAGCAAGGAGGTGCTGCTCTCCATAATGCTGTTGTATGTCCTCTAGGCAGTGAAAAGAAGTGGCAGAACCTTGTATTTGAGTGTGGTAAGCAAGGATGGAT